TGCTACCTGGCGCAGTGCGCACGCACACCACCCCCAGCCACGCGCGCACCTCGGGCCTGCACCCTGTGCAAGACGTGCTCGAACGGGCGCGCGCCGCTGCGCGGCACCTCGGCGCCGCCTCGCCCGAGCGGCGCTGGCGACGGGGCCGCTGGGCGCGCGGCGACCGCCCGAGGCACCGCGCCTCCGAGCCGAGCCCCGACGGCGGCACCTCCGGCCTCGCGGGGGGCCCGGGAGCGCGCGGGGGCGCCCCGGGGCGCGGGGAGGCCCGTCGCGCTCCGCCTCTGCTGTGGGCTCTGCTCGAGGCCGCAGCACCGCCCAGCGTGAGGTCTCCGGCCAGGGCGCTCCTCGCTCCGCTGCCTCGCAGGGCCGACCTCTGGAGAACTCGGCCGCCTCGGCCTCTGTTGGCCTGCGGCCTCCGGAGGCGGGCGGCGGGGAGGGCGAGGAGGGCAGGGCCCGCCCCGAGCCTCCAGGCCGCAGTGCTCTTGTCGCGCCGTGGGCCGCCGGAGCCCTCGGCTCCACCCCGGGGGACTTTTCCTCGAGGACAGCAGGCCGGCAGAAACACAACACCTTCGGAGCCACGCGCGGATTTCTTGGACCTGCGCCCAGGCCCCCTCTCGCGGCGCCTCTGGCGCCGCCCCTGGCGCGTTTTCCGCGCGCCCTGGTAAGGGGGCCCAGCGCCGACCCAAGAAGCCCGCGCGGAGGCCCGAACGTCTGCGCTGGTGCAGCTTCCCTTCCTCCTCCCTTCCTGTTCTCCTCCCCTCGGCTCCGAAGGCAGGCCCCCCCCCCGGGCCTTCTCGCCGACCTCCGCCGGCCCGCGGCGCCCGCGCGGGGGCCCCCAGCGCCACTCCTGCCTCCTCGAGGCGCCGCGGCGGCCGCGGGGCCGCGCGGGGCGGCCCGCGGCGGCGCCCTCGCGCCGCGCCCCTCTCTGCTGCGGGCGCCGCCGACGCAGTCGCGGCCCTGCCTCGCCATCGCGGCGCCTGCCTCGCAATCGCGGCGGCGCCGCCTCTGCCGCCGGCGGTGCAGCCGCCGCCGGGCGCCGGGCGCCACCGCGAGGGCTCCACCGCGCGAGGGCCGGGGGAGCTCCGGCCTCCCGTGCCATGCTGGGGAGGCTGGCCCGTCGGGCCTCGACGCGGGCCACCGTGCCATGTTCCGGAGGAGACACAACACACAGATACAATTAGTCGTCGATTCCCCAGAAAAAATACCGGAAAAGATGGGAAGTGTGGGGGGGGAAGACAGAAACCCAGAAGATAGGAGAAAATATGGGGAAGCCTGTTCTTTGTGTGCATTTTCTTGTGTGTCCTATAGGGCCCCTTCACATGTGGCGCTCCGTGCCTCGCGGCCTCTGGCCGCAGAGGGTGCCCCCTTGCCACTGCCGGGCGCTGCGGCGCAGGGGTTCACCCGCCGGGGCTCCGCCGCGCACCGGGGCGTGGGGTATCGGGTGGTGCACCGGCGCGTGTCCCGGGCAGGCCAGCCGTGGGGCCAAACCTCAGGAGGGAAGAACACACACACAGACACAATTCATCGTCGACTCCCCAGAATATGGGAGAATATGGGAAGTGGGGGGGAAGACAGAAGCCCAGAAGATATGGGGAAATATGGGGAAGCCGGTTATTTGTGTGTACTCATTTTTGTGTCCCAGGGCCCCTTCAAAACCGCGCCGTCGCGCACCGTTGGGCGCGGAGCGCAAGTTCGGTTGGCCCGGATGAGTACACCGACGCCTGTCCTGGGCAGGCGGGGCCGATCCGCGCCGTCGCGCCTCGCGGGGCGTGGAGCGCAACTTCAAGTGGCCTGGATGCATCGGCGCCTGTCCTGGCCAGGCCAGCCGTGGGGCCAGGGCGGGCCAGGCAGGCGCACACACCGATCCTTGGTCCAAGGCTGGCCCAGCCACAGCCCGTGTGGGTGGGACCGAGTGCGTCTTCCGCATCGCCTCCTGCAGACGAGCAGAAGGGGGGAGTTCGAGGAGTTGGTCGTCTGCGCTTGCGTGGGGAGCTCCGTTTACTCAGCATTGGGTCGTGCACGAGCTTTCATGGACTTGCGTAGTGGGAGCCTTACAGATCCTTAGAACGGGGAGGAGGAGGAGGAGGAGGAGGAGGAGGAGGGAATTGAGGATAAGGAGGAGGAGGAGGAGGAGGACCAGGAGGAGAGGAGAGGGGGGAACGCGGGAGGAGGAACATGAGGAGAAGGAGGAGAAGGATAAGGAGAATGAGAAGGAGGAGGATGATAAGAAGGAAAAGGCCAGCAGGATGAGGGATGAGGAGGATGAGAGGAGGGGAGGGGTAGGGTCGGAAGTGATGGGGAAATTGAAGATGAGCGAGGGCTGGGAGAGGGGCCGTAATTAACCGAGGGAAGCAATGAAGACCCAGCTCTCCCCCCTCTCTGGTGAAACGATAACGCAGCCAACACTCTGAAGCGTTACCCTGGCACCCTGGCAGTTGGCCATCTTAGCACTCCTCCAGAGCCCCCGGCAACCCTCGAATATGGCGACAGTTTCGCAGTTTGCAGTCCCACAGGGATGGCTAAGTCCCTTTCTGATCTGCGTGTCACCGCAGTAAGCTGGGCCCGCCAGCAGCCTTTTTGCTACGAAGTGCCACTACTACGACCACTATTATCATCATTACCGCTACTGC